AACTCCCCTAGGGGGGTACGAACCGTGTGAGGGGTGTGACGACCATGTGACGATAATGATGAGTGTGGTAAGTCGTATCAAGACGATGATGCTGACGAGAAAGCGGAGGAGGAGGAGGAGGAGAAGGAGGAGGAGGAGGAGGAGGAGGAGGAGGAGGAGGAGGAGGAGGAGGAGGGGAGGAAGAGGATGAGGAGGATGAGGAGGAGAAGGAGGAGGAGGAGGAGGAGGAGGAGGAGGAGACGCGCTGCAATGCGAATTCGAAACGGAGACCCCCCATCCACAAGAGGGTTGGGAAACAACTGAACGGGCGGGCATGAGAGCCACGGGGGGGGGGCTGCCCGAGCCACTGCACGTCGCAGACGGCAGCGCCTCTTCCGCTTCAATCGCCTCCCCCTGGGCAGCGAGCGAGAGACGCAAAGGGGTCCCTACCGTGCACGCGCGAGACGATCGACCACTTCGGGAGAGACGGACACATAACATCAACACAGACAAAACAAAGCACGCCGAACGCTTATCGGCAACTGTGCGGAAACGGCGAAAGAAACGGCCACAGCAACGCACACGAAATGTGACAGCTCAACATTGAAGGGGGGACGCCCTGGCCGTTGTGAGAGACATGTCCCATCGGGACAAACATCTGTGTCGCAGCCATGTCGAACGCGTCGAATCCATGTCGAATCCAAGTCGGATTCACTTCGAAACCGTGTCGTACCCACGTCGGAGTACAAGTAAACACTGCCACTTACACGGCAGGAACGGTCCCCCGAAGATGCGATGCAAGACGGGGGCACCTTGGGCAAGGGACACTCCCGGCAACCCGGGGCACAGGGCGCCCGCGGCCGCTGGGGCCCCCTCAGGGCGACGACAGCGCATCAGGAGCCGCGTGGCCCTCGCAGGTCTGGGCGGGCATTGCACCTGAGATGATTCGAGCTGCTTCTTGGCACTCGCGAACCTAATCTTGATCTCGCCCACAGGCCCCCCTCTCCTCCGGCGTCGCCTTCTTGCCTCGTGGCGTGAGCCTTCCTGGGGATCTCAGCACCATTCCCTGTGGTCGATGTTTTGTCCCGAGCAGTCTTTGTTGACGGTCCTGGGACGGGGAAGTCGGGGCCAGGAACACTGCGCAAAACCCTGAGATCTGTGCGTCACATTTTTTCGCAACGGGGGTTCTCGCCCAGTCTCGGGCCCTAGGACCATCACAGATCGAGCCGGCTCGCGACATGCCGCAGGAAGATGCGGTCTGGGGCTCCAGTCATGATTTCTTGCGAGTTTGCACATTGCCTCGCGACGTGGGATCTCCAGGCACGGCGGCGCCGATCCAATCCGCCTCGAGAAAAAGTCGGGGCGGCTGGTTCGTCGATCGCCTCGCCCGCTCTGGCCTCCCGCCATGCCGGTCTCGGGCCTCGGGGCCGTCAAGAGACGACTCGGGATGCGAAGCTGGCATCCGGAGAGGGGGTCGAGAGTAGGAAGGCACCAACTATACACCAGCACCGATCCTGGCCAGAATCACCCTGGGCCCAGGATCGGTGTATACGCCCTCCTGCCCTGCGCAAGAAGGCATATACACCGATCCTGGGCCCAGGGTGATCCTGGGCCAAGATCGGTGTTGGTGTATAGTTGGTGCCCTCCGAGAGAGACCCGGGGGCCCACGCATCGACAAAAATCGATACGTCGGGGGTCTGGGATCCGAGATCCCAGTGGATGCGCGGCACAGCGGATGCGGGCAAAATTCACGTCCACATCCACTGCGCCTCGGATTTTCGGGCTCCCGTCACTGAAGCCCGAAGCAGTGGATATGGATGAACGTGGCCTCTACAGAAACATGATTTTTACCAATATCCACTGCGTCCCGGTCTGTTGGATCTCATTTTCATTATTCGGGATAACGTCCGTGACCGGCCCCGCCACCAATTCGCGATGGCGCCGTCTGGGAATGAGCCAACCCTCAAGACGGCTTGGGTGCGAATCGTGCCGTGACCAGCCCTCTCCCCCCCCCCCCCTCCCCCCCTCCCGGGTCACGCCCGTTAGCGCTAACGAAAGAACTGTCTCTTGGCATCACTTCCCCGGGCATGCGACGTTCTATTTGTTTCCAATACAGTCAACCCGCAGAGTAAGGATGCGCGATAAGGATGCAAGGGCCCATGGACGCCCATTTCGAAGCGTTTCGAGCGGGGCGCGGCCATCGACAGTGTCCAGGGATGGACCCAGGAAGCAAGGATGCAAGGGTAGCCTTGGGAGGGATGCCTATCCTTACTCTGCGGGTCGACTGTACGACGCGAGCATGTCTGGGAAAAGGTCTTGCGGCATCCATTTCCCAAACATCCAGGACGCCGCTCCAGGCTTCCTCCAGTTGCAAGTCTGAAGAGACCAAGGATTACGACAGCTACAAGACTTTGACGACCCGCTCGGAGTCGCACGTGGAAGTAGGGACCCCATCGTGATCCGCTCCCGCTCGAGACTTCCTCGCAATTCGCTCACAGGCGAAGCCCCCGCTTGAGACTTCTTCAAGAGGAGTGTGCGAGGACACGACGGGGGGTGAGGTGAGGAGGACTGCGCGGGGTGTCTAGAATGAGCACGAGCCCCACGTGGTGTGTGTGTGTGTGTGTGGAAACAGTGTCTCCTGGCATCTGCTTCCCAGACGCCCATGACGCCGCGGAGATGAACGGCAGTGTGCCTCGCAATGGACGAGCGGACCGCGCGGGGGGGCATCCGCGGGGGGCCGCGGATGAGGCGGCCGGGCCGCGGAGCAACTGCCGCAGATGTGCTCCTCGCGGGCCTCGAGGCCCGCCCACGATCGGCGAGCACGTCCGTATCCCCAGACCCCTCGGGTCGGGGCAAAACCTGATCGGACAAGAACGGGAAGCGCCGCTAGTCTAATGGGCGTGTTGGGCGAAGAAGACAAAAGGAAGGCGAGGACAGCGAGGAGTCGATGACGAGGACGACGTGGCGAACGTGAGGATAGCGAGGAGGAGCATGAGGACAACGAGGAGGAAGAGAAGCACAAGGACGAGGACGAAGAGAACGAGGGCGAGTACGAGGAGGAATGCGGAGGGCGATGATGACGACGACGACGACGACGACAGAGGACAGTGCGAGGCAATTGGACAAAGACGTTGCTCCTGGCGCCGCGCGGGGTTCTCTTCGGGCCTGTTGGGGGCTTCTTGGGTGCCCCTTGGGTCCTCTTATGGAATTCTGGGGTCTTCTTGGGCCAGACCCCTCGGGTCGGGACAAAATCCGCCGACCCCTCGGGGATCATCGGCGTGTGAGATGCCTCCCCCTCCCCAGACCCCTCCCCCCGGAGCCCGGTCCGGTCGATTTGGAGGGGGGGGGGGGTCGTCCGGCCCGAGCTCATCAGGGGGCTCCTGCCCTTCCCGGGCTCCTTTCTGGAGGTCCACGACGCAACGAAAAACAGAGGGGTCGGCGGTGTGGCGTAAGCCTGAGAATCACGACGGGGAGGAGGAGGAGGAGGAGGAGGAGGAGGAGGAGGAGGAGGAGGAGGAGGAGGAGGAGGAGGAGGAGGAGGAGGAGCAGAGAACGCGCGGATCGGTGGCTCTAACACGGTGTCTCCTCCTCCTCATCCTCCTCCTCCTCCTTTTCCTCCTTATCCTCCTCCTCCCCCTTCTTCTCGCTCCTCTTGGGGCCCTCGCCGGGCCGTGGGACCGTCGCAGGACGACTCAGGGTGGACGCTGGCCCCGGGGAGCGGGTCGAGACCGCTGGGGGTCGACGTCACGAGAAAGCCGCGGCCATTGACTATAAAACTTGCACTACTGCAGAGGAGCTCAAACAAGCATTGACAGATGTAGCTCCTGAAGGAATTGACATGTATTTTGAAAACGTTGGTGGCATGCATTTTGAAGAGGCCCGCACCGGGCCCAGACACAGGCGGCACCTCCTCTGGAGGCATTCCTGTTCCCTTCGGACTTCAGATCCCGCCGTCGCAAACAGACCTCGCGAAGGCCGCCTCAGATCCGACGTGACGGAACAATCGCCACGTCGCCAGAAGTCACCACCGGAGCCCCAGACCATGTCTCCTGCGGCATGTTTCTGCACGGATCCACCTGGGAGGGTGGCGTGGCCCTGAGCTGGGCGAAACCGCTCGTTGCGAACAATGATGAGACGCCAAGGTCTCAAAATGGTAGCTACAATGACGACGACGACGACGACGACGACGACGACGACGACGACGACAGGGGACGACGTCGATGGGCACTGCTCCTGGCCCTGGGGCCCTCGCCCCAGGACCGTCAACAAGGACAGCCCAGGATGAGACATTGGCCAGGAGGAGTGGGGCCGAGATCCCCAGACCTGCACACGCCACGAGGTAAGAAGGCGACGACGGAGCAGGGACCGACCATCCTGGCATTCTTCTAGGCCTATCATGTCATATTCTTCCAACAGAATCTGGTAAGAAAGCAAGCTTCTTAGAACGTGAAGCCGACCGAGTCAAACAAGACCGTCTCAGTCATCCATGTGCCAAGAACACTACGTGCGTTTTACGAAACGCCATTGGAACATTGCCTGTTGGGGGCCCATGGGCAAGTCAGGGCGCTTCGCCACTTGCTCGACAAAAGATGAGCGTGAGCAGACAGCGGGAAGGGATTAGAAGGCAGAAAATCCGCCCCGATAATAACCACCCCGACACGCGAGGCCTTTGGTAAACGCGCCCAGAGAAGGAATCGATCAGGGCAGGGCTGTTTAGTAAACGCCCAGGGCCGTTTAGTAAACGCCAATTGTCCGGTCCGGGTGGTTTTTGCTCCCTTCGGGGATGGACAGACCCCCATTTAGCAAAACGTGGTTTAGTGAAAACGACCTGAGGCCCAAACCTGGCGGGCGCAAGCCTGGAAAATAACGGCCGCGGCGCCCTCTCGAGAACCGAAAACGGACAATTCACTAATCGACGTGTCACTGTTGGGGGTTCTGTCCACCCCCGATCCCTTGAGGGATGCGGCGACTGGCGTCGAGACGGCAGGGGCGGGCGATGACGCGAGGCTCGGGACTGCCGCGGCGGACGAGGCAGGCAGGGGCCGGGCGTCTCCAGGGCGGCGATGGCCTGGGCGTCTTGCGCGAAGGCCTCGGGGTCCGTCACCGTCAGGGAGAGGAAGCCCTCGACCTTCGGCGGCGCGGGGCGGAGGGGAGGCGAGCGAGAAAGGCGAGGAGGGAAGGGGGGCGGGAGAGTAGGGAGGGAGCGAGGAGGGGGGGGAGATGGGGGGGAGAGCGAGAAGAGGGGGGCATGAAGGTAGAAGAAGGGAAGCGAGAAGTGGGGAGGGTGGAGGAGGGGGGGGGACGTAGCAGGCGAGGGGGGATAACGTTTACCATGTGGGAGTTGACCCGATGGCTGGGAACCGCCACAGACTCTCGAAACAACGGAACTTCCAAACACACGAGATGAATCCAGATAACCTCGTACCTCACAAGTTATGGAATTAGTAGCCCGTGGAAAACAGAACAGACATACACCTCTCGCCAATTAGCTTAAATCGTCTCCATGGGCTCTCAAACTTCGAACGACTGTGACCAGTGCTCCGGCTGACATGGTAGTTTGCGTAGTGGATGTGATGCTTGTCCTCGAGGTTATGCTGGTCGTGCTTGTACCGCTCGCGGTCGTGGTGGCGCTGGTTGTGCTCGTGCCAGAATGTGTCGACGAAGAAGCGGTCAACGAAATTGACGAAGTAGTAGTCGACGACGTCCGCGTAGTGGTGGTGCCCGTGGTGGTCAAAGTAGTACCTGACGTACTTGTCTCGCTGTGAGCCGCTCTTAGTTTAGACTCCGCATGACATGACCGCCTAGACACAACACAAGCAGTCGGAGAAGGGTGAGCAGGAGAAGCTAAAGGAGAAGGATGATGAGGATGGGGGAGAGAAGGATGAAGACGATGTGGGGCAGAGGAGGAAGAAATGGATGGTAGATTTGGCCCTTGATCCGCACGATTGTTCTAATGGTTAGCGTCCCATGGTATGCGTCGCACAGCGGGATTCCACCCCGACTTGGACTGTTCCGCATCTGGCTGGCCTTGCCCAACCTTCAGGTCGCCCTTGACATGAGGGAGACTCGCCATCGCTCGGACGGCCATTCCCCGTGTATGCTTCGATTTCGTGCGTGTAGTTGTTCGCAAGATGATCCCAGATACTCCTCAATGGTCCCCGCTGGTGAAACATGCACACGTTCGAGCGATGCCAAGGAGATGGGAGGGTCCTTGTGGATACAAGTTCTGGATCTAGGGACGTCCAACAGTCCCTTTCCTCCAGCATTGTTTTTCTTCATGGTGAGCCCTGCCCTCAGCCCTTCGGGGAATCGGGGAGCCGCCATGCAATGGTCGACAACCCGTCGCAAGACGACGCAAGGCGTTCCTGAAGGCCAGCCGCCGTGAAACTATATTAATGCCATTCCACTCGGGATTCCACTCGCGAGCCCTCCGGGGTGCATTACAAGAGTTCGGTGGTCGACCGCATTTGCAGCTCTAAGAAGACCCCATCGTATTATGCGCAATCAGAGAAGGAGAGCTGTGTACATTAGAGGAAGAAAGGGAGCGGATGAGCAAGGGGATGGCCAGGAGGAGGACGAGGACGACGCAGGAGGACGACAAAGAGAAACAACAGCAGCAGGAGCACGAGGAGCGGGATGAGCAGGAAGACCACAGAAATGCGGATGAGAGAAAAGAAGCGGGGCGCCCATTATGAGGAAGTACTTAGATCCAGGATTGTGGCCCGCGCTGGGGCAAGAGTGATCTTCTGAACGACGGGAGCACGACGGGAGCAAAGCGTCGATCCATCAAAGAGCCCCAAGGCTGTAGCCCCATCCTGACATCGAAGAACAGTGTGACAACATGCCTTCTGAACTCGCAGACATGGGAAACAAGATGCGGCAGAAAAACTGCCCCGCTTGGACTGGATTCAGGGAGAGAAGATGGTAGTATTCATATTGGGTACGCGTCTTGAGGGGGAACGGAATGAAAGGAGGAATCACACAACAGCGAGCGTGCGGACTGCGACATGGACGCGCGCTGTATCGAGATCAGAGTCGTGGTCGCATGTATCCGACAGGAGGTCGGCTGAGAGAGGGGAATGGAAGGGCACGGCACGACCCTGGTGGGAATTTGGCAACGCAAGGCGGGCACGATGGCCAACCACTGGAGAGACTGCACAGCGAAAGCTGAGCACGGAATCGACCCGGCGGACTATCTCTCAGAACAGATCGCATGAATCACCTAGTGCCTCTGTAGAGGAATCGCGACCGCGTTCTTGCATCACGTCCTTTGCAGGAAACGCTCGATCAAAAGAAAGCTCGCCTTGTACTTGTCTTTGAAAGGGATGTTGCAGAGATCGTGGTCAAGCTCGTCGTTGTATACGTCGCTGTGGCGGTGACGGTGGTGCTGCTGGTGGCTGAGGATGTTGTTTGGGTGGTGCTGCCTGTGGTACCTGTCAATGTTGTTCCAGTGGTCGTAGTTCCTGTTGTATCGGATCCCGTGGTCGTGCTGAATGTTGTCGTAGTTGTCCCCGTTGCGCTGCTTAGCGTCACTGTGCTACTTAATGACCACGTACTGATTGAGGTAGTCACGCTCCCTGTCCTGGTGGTGGAAGTAGTCGTTGTGATCGTTGTGACACTTGTGGTAGAGCTGGACGTAGCACTGGTGGTTGTCTTAGTCGTACTTGTCCTTGTGGTGCTGCTGACCGATGTGGTGGAACTCCAGCTGAGCGTGGTGGCGGTCAATGTTGTAGCTGTGTACGTTGTACCAGTACGACTGGAAGTTGCACTGGTGGTTGTGATAGTCGTACTGGTCTTTGAGGTGGTACTGCTCGCAGTGGTCGCGCTCGACGTCGTCATGGTAGTGGTGGCTGTTGTCATTGTTGAGGTGGTTGAGATAGTGGTGCTCGTCCTTGTGGTGCTGCTGACCGACGTGGTGCTGCTTTTGCTGATCGTGCTCACGCTTGTTGTAGTGGCAGTTCGCGATGTACCAGTTGAGCTGGACGTTGAGCTGGTAATGGTGGAAGTCGTGCTTGTCCTGGTGGTGCTGCTGGCCGACGAAGTGCTGCTCATGCTGGTAGAGCTAACGCTTATTGTTGTTGCAGTTGACGTGGCACTGACTGATATTGTTGTCGTGCTGGTATTTGTCATTGATGTTGTGATGATCACTGTTGGTGTGGTAACAGTTGTGGTAGACGAAGTAACAGTTGTAACGGTCGTACCGGACGTCCGCCGACCCCCGCTTGCTGGGGGTAGGACGGCTTGTGAGATCAGTGGCTGACCCCCTCTCCTTCGTGCCCATTCCCAAGAGTCCAGCGCTTCTGTTGAGGGATTGGGGGGTGCGGATGAGCTGACCACCACCCAGTAAGTCCAATTTGACATCAAATGTCGGGCAATGTGGCCGACATTGTCCCAAACTCGTTTCTGCTTGCCGCATGCCTCCAAGAGCAAGGCCGCAGGGTAGACTGACATACACCATCCAGGCAAGCATGGAGGATAGAAGCGACCAATCCCCGAACCCCCCCCCGATGACTTAACAGGCTCCTCAGGCCCCAACGCGGCCACAGAAATTTCTAGCCACGTTCATCGCGGCACCAACCCGGGTCCCATCGGCCCACATCTGCCCCAAGACGGCCCAGTCACCTCCCAAACGCCTCTCCCCACGAAGGTGCCGAACTAATCTGAATAACTACACCTGCGCTACAGCAACGACCTCACCCCTGGCGAATCATGGACGCTGCCTTGTCTCCTCACCGGGGCTAGGCGGACTTACGTAAGCCTGTTGAATAAAGCTGGAAGTCGTCCTTGTGCTGCTGCTGGCTGATGTGGTACTACTCTCGCTGGTGGCGCTTACCGTAGTCTTAGTATTGGTGGCTGTTGTGCCTGTTGAGCTGGATGTCGCGCTTTTGGTCGAGACGGTTGTGCTGCTCGTCCTGCTGGTGAAGCTGATAGTCGTCTCGGTAGCTGTGGCTGTTGTGCCTGATGCGCTGGATGTCCAACTGATAGTTGTATCAGTTGCGCTGCTTGTCTCACTGGTGGTGCTCACAGTCGTCTTGGTAGTGGTGGCTGTCGTCCCTGATGTGCTGGATGTCCAACTGGTAGTTGTAGCAGTTGCGCTGCTTGTCTCGCTGGTGGTGCTCACAGTCGTCTTGGTAGTGGTGGCTGTCGTCCCTGATGTGCTGGATGTCCAAGTGGTAGCTGTGGCACTTGTGCTGGTCGTGACGCTGGTGGCGCTCACCGTCGTCCTAGTCATGGTTCCTGTTGTACCTGATGTGCTGGAGATCGAACTCATAGATGTGGCACTTGTGCTGGTCGTCCCGCTGGTGGTGCTCACAGTCGTCGTTGTAGTGGTGGCTGTCGTCCCTGATGTGCTGGATGTCCACGTGATAGATGTGGCACTTGTGCTGGTCGTCCCGCTGGTGGTGCTCACAGTCGTCGTGGCAGTGGTGGCTGTTGTGCCTGTTGTGCTGGAGATCGAGCTCATAGATGTGGCACTTGTGCTGGTCGTGACGCTGGTGGTGTGGGTAGTTGCGGAAGTAGTGCCTGATGTGCTGGAGATCGAACTCATACTTGTGACACTTGTGCTGGTCGTCCCGCTGGTGGCGCTCAATGTCGTCTTGGTAGCTGTGGCTGTCGTCCCTGATGTGCTGGATGTCCACGTGGTAGTTGTGGCAGTTGCGCTGCTCGTCTCGCTGGTGGTGCTCACAGTCGTCGTGGTAGTGGTGACTGTTGTGCCTGTTGTGCTAGATATCGAACTCATAGATGTGGCACTTGTGCTGGTCGTGACGCTGGTGGTGTGGGTAGTGGCGGAAGTAGTGTGAGTGCGGCTAGTAGCGGAAGTTGTCAAGCTAATGGTGCTCACAGTCGTCCTGGTAATGGTGGATGTTGTGCCTGATGTGCTGGATGTCCAAGTGGTAGCTGTGGCACTTGTGCTGGTCGTGACGCTGGTGGCGCTCACCGTCGTCTTAGTCATGGTTCCTGTTGTGCCTGATGTGCTGGAGATCGAACTCATAGATGTGGCACTTGTGCTGGTCGTCCCGCTGGTGGTGCTTACAGACGTCGTGGTAGTGGTTGCTGTTGTCCCTGAAATGCTGGATGTCCAGGTGGTAGTTGTGGCAGTTGCGCTGCTTGTCTTGCTGGTGGTGCTCACAGTCGTCGTGGTAGTGGTTACTGTTGTGCCTGTTGTGCTGGATATCGAACTCATAGATGTGGCACTTGTGCTAGTCGTCCCGCTGATGGTGCTCACAGTCGTCTTGGTACTGGTTCCTGTTGTGCCTGTTGTGCTGGATATCGAACTCATAGATGTGGCACTTGTGCTAGTCGTCCCGCTGATGGTGCTCACAGTCGTCTTGGTACTGGTTCCTGTTGTGCCTGTTGTGCTGGATATCGAACTCATAGATGTGGCACTTGTGCTAGTCGTGCCGCTGATGGTGCTCACAGTCGTCTTGGTACTGGTTCCTGTTGTCCCTGATGTGCTGGATGTCCAGGTGGTAGTTGTGGCAGTTGCGCTAGTCGTCCTGCTGGTGGTGCTCACCGTCGTCTTCGTACTGGTTCCTGTTGTGCCTGTGGTGCTTGAGATCGAACTGATAGTTGTGGCACTCGCGCTACTACTCACACTGGTGGAAAGCATCGTAGACGAGCTGGTCATCGTAATGGTATTCGTAGTTGTGACGGTCGTCGTCGTCCACGTTGTTGTCGTCACGCTTATCGTTGTCACACTCGTGGTCGTTGCTGTGGCACTGCTCACCGATGTGAAGCTGGTCTCGCTGCGGGTGCTCAATGTAGATGTTGTAACCGTCTTCGTTGAGCGCGTCGTTGAACTCGTCGCTGTGCCGCTGCTCGCTGAACTGGTGGTGGTCTTGCTTTCGGTGCTCAAAGTGGTTGTGGTAGCGGTGGTTATTGTCAATGTTGATCGAGTTGTCGCGCTGGTGGTGCTCTGTGTAGTTGTCGTGCTTTTCGAAGTAGCGCTCGTTGGCGTAGAAGTGCTGGTTGTCAAAGTCGTCGAGCTCGCGGTCGTGATAGACGTCGGCGTTGTGACTGATGTGCTGCCTGTCGTTGCAGTTGCACTTGCCGTTGTAATTGTGATGACCGTCGTCGTGGCTGTTGTCAGAGTCGATGAAGCAACCAACCTGCTGGCAATCCCCACAAACTGCTCAAAACATGCGGCTGACCGGCCGTACCCAATAGACAGCTCTACCAATACGATCGGCAACTGAATCCAACCAGCCCTCTAGGCGTAGGTGCTCTAGAGAGGCTCCTATTCCAACCCCGTTCTCCTTCGCGGAGGGGTTTACCCCTCCCCGTACCCCCTGCCCTGGACCTGGACGGGGCGCCCCGCGAACGGTCAGAGCATCAAAAATTGCCCAAGACGGCCCAGATAGCCCAAGATGTCTTCAAAGACGCCCCAAGATAGCCCAAGATGGCTCAATATGGCTCACATGATGCTCTAAGAAGCCCCAAAACCGCTCAAGACGGCTCCAAGTGGCCAAGGAGCCTCCCCAGGAGGCCGCCAAGAGGCCCAAATCCATGGAGAACTTAAGGGGCATCAGTGATGTTTGCCTTCTCGCCTTTTCGCTTCCGATAGCCTTCCGAGGCCTCAAGGCAGCTCCAAGGGGCACATGCGGGCCCCAAGAAAGCCCCAAGAGGGGCCCAATCGGCGATTTTGGGGGCTCCCAAAGAGGGAACGTAATTGGAACTCTTGTCTTTTTTGGCCGATCTCCTCCAAGATTGCCCCAAGAGCGCTGCCAAGGCTCCCAAGAGCGCCTCAGAGGTCCCCAGGTGGCGCCCAGGAGGCCCCAAGAGGCGCCCAATAGGCTTCCAAGAGGCCCCACGAGGCTCCCCGAGCACCCAAGACGCCCCAAGAGGCCTCCAGGGAACGCCAAGATGCCCCAAAAACGCTCCAAGAGGCCTCCCAAACACTTCCAAGAGACATCCGAGAAGACTCTGAAAGGCAACTCGGCTGGGCATCGTTTCTGGATGGGCTGGTGGGTTTTTTTTGTCGCAGTCGCAAGCGAAAGCGCAGGCGGCGAGTAATGGAACGGGCGGGCCGCTCGCGAACCTAATTGCCTAACGCGCCAGCAAACAGAGGCCTAGGCGGCACCTCGGTCACCGGGAGCGGAAGGGGATGCGGGTAGCAGCTGCCAGGAACCAGGTCCAGGAGCGCGCACGTGCAATTAGCCAACCGAAGACGGGACGCAGCCAAAATGGCGCGGGGGCGAAACCAGAATGAAGCCAGGAGCGCCACCACGAAGGATCGCAGAAACCGGCAAGGCCGGGGGAACTCACTGACCAGGAACCTGGGCATGGAAGTGGCGCCACCAAAATCGCACACAACGCTGGCAAGTGGCCGCAAGGGGCGAGGACAAGACGCAGGATAAGCCACACGAATCCTCATGCACCCAGCCCCTGAAGGGGGCAGCTCGCTTGCAGTACATACCAGGAGGCAATGTTGCCACCGATGGCCAGGAAGGCGTGACTGACCAGGAGCCAGCACGAGTGGCGCCAACGAAGTCGCACACTCGCTCCTGAGGCCACGCGAACTCCCGAACACGGTCGCCGACGCATGAGGAGATCTGACCAGGAGCTGGGCAGGGGAACGCCTCAAGCACGTGGACGAGTGAACACGAATGCCGTAGACACTGCCTCAGAAAACCGTGGACGTAGTCAACACAGTCGGCCGACGGCCAGGAGAGCACAGGTTGAAGCACGTGCACTTGGAGGCTCCATGCACCAGCCCGGAAGTGGGCATGTGGAGCAGGGCCTGGCTGCCTGAGGGGGGGCCAGGACGGAGCGTGGCAGTGCAGTCGACGCGCAGGGAGCGGGGTAGCTCGGCGCGGGGTAATTGCCGAAGGTGCGGGGAGTAGAAGGCGCCGGGGGCGGTGAAAACAACTACAGCCAGGCCAGGGGCCAACTCGGACAGGTGGGCCGCGGCCCCAGCGGCGGCCCACGTGTCGGCACTGTCAGCAGGCAGCTGCCAGGGGGCAGCGGGCGCTGGGCCAGGGGGGGCAGCGGGCGGGGGGGCGGGGGGGCGGCGGGTGCTGGGCAGAATGTGCAACCAGTAAGTGGCTGAAGACTGCTGGTTTGCCGAGCACAGGTGGAGCGCCACCATGTGTAGGGGCGCATGTCGCCCCCCCCGTCGCCGCAGTGAACGACCCCCGCAAGCCTCCTGTCTGCTGCGGGGCCCGTCCTCCGAGCAGGGAAGGTAAAGCGCTCACCTTCTGAACGGCTCACAGTTGGTCGGCATATCGGGATACCTGGAAGCAGCTGAAGGCTGCACATTCTGCAAAGAAGTCACAGCGACCTTAGCGCACATGCGCGGGCTGCGACGAGGTGCGACCTTAGTCACGGGCTGCGACAAGGGCGAAACAAGGGCGGGCGAGCCCGCAGTGCTAGAGCTGCTGGCCTTCCCCTGCCACTTGCCCTTGCTGGGGGCGCGGCTGCCAGCGTGGCCCTTGCCACCTGGCGCCTCTTACCCGCGCCGCCACTGCGACGCAGGTATCGCGGCCAGGAAGGCGGCTAAAGGCCGCGTGCTCTGGAAAGACACTGGGGGAGAGGAGAGAGGCAGAGAGTGCTACCAGGAAGTGGCTGAAGGCCAATGGCTTGCCAAGGGGAAGATGAAGCACCGCCACGTGCGGGAGCGATTATCACCTCTCCCGCCGCCGCTGTGGCCGCCGCTACGCTTGCCTCCTGTCTGCCAGTCGTTGGAGTCCCAGGAGTGTGTCCAGGACCAGGTGCCCCAGTCCCAGGACTGCTGCGAGCTGGACAACCGGCCCTGTGGCTGGTGGCCGCCCTTGCCCTGCCGCCCCATCCATTTGTCGCGCTCCTCGGCCCAGTCGACTCCCAGCTCGAGCTGCCGATCCATCTCGTAGGCGTCGAAGCCACAGCGCTTCCAGGCGTCCAGGAAATTGCGGCAGGAGGGCTCGGAGTTCAGCGCGGGGTTGCCCTTCGGCATTCCTTTGTGGCCCCGAAGGGTGCTTCCTGGCATATGCATGCCAGACGCCGTTTAACGCACCTTCCAGGTCCTTCTGGAGCCGCGCGATCTTGGCTGCTGGGCGCCCGCCTACCCTGTCAAGGTCAACATGTCTGAGCAGTTCCTTGTACATGCGGCCTCCGTCCACGGGGTCAACGAGATCGTCGAAGGCATGGCTAGCGGCCCCGCTGTGTCTCCTGTCCCCAGGGGTGCCGTATCGCGCGGGAGCTGTCGGCGCTCTGCATCCCCCATGGGCGTCCGCGTGACCACCAGGGTCTGGACTGCGGTGCTTGCCGCAGCTTTACCAAGCCTCAGCAGAGCCGTGTCCGGGCCTGCGGGCCGCACCCTCACCCGGCGCACCGCTAGGGGGCTCGGCCCTGCCCCCGCCCGCCGCGGCTTGCCCGAAGGCGCCCAGGGCGTCATCGAAAGGGCTGTCGTCGCCCGCGCCGCCAGCTGCATCGAGCGAAGGTGGGGAGGAGCTGTCTTCCTGCTCGGTCGCGCCTTCTGCGTCCTCGGCTGGGGACGGCGAGGCCACTGGTCGGGCCTCGTCGCCGAAGTCGACCTCATCGCTGTCGGCCATGAGGGTTGGCGATGGGTTCGTTGGAGAGTCCGCTGCCTCTTTGACGGGCAGGGTCGCTGGCGCGTCTTGCTCCGTCGCCTGAAGGGCGCGGTCCGCCTGCTGCGTGGGGGGCTCAGCCTCCTTGGGTTGGGCCGCGCCGTCGGGTTGGGCCTTGGGGGCCGCAGTTGCCTCGGCCCCTGTTGGTCCTGTCTCCTCAGTCTCCGGCGTAAGCCAGGCCCTTGCGGCCTCCCTTGGGGGGGCGCCGAGTGCGCCACATCCAAGCCCACAGCAGGGGTGGTTTGTCGGGCGAGCTCAGCGACGGATGCAGCTGCGATTGCACCGGAGCCCAGGCTGGCCAGGAAGCTGGCCAGGACGGTGAGCTCGTGGCGATAAGGACTGGGGCCCTTGTTGGGACGCCAGGCCTGCTCGGTGCGCCGCCCAGGCCTCCGCGCGCTTCGCACTGCGCGTCAGATGCCCGACAACTCTTGCCAGGACGACCATCTCGCGGAATTTCTGCGCCGTAGATCCTGGCCAGGAAGGGTGTCAGCTGGTGGGCGGGCCAAGAGGTTTCCTGATCCTTCGGTGCTCGGATCTGCAAGCCTTCCGCTTTTACGTGGTCTGTCCAGCGGCCGTCCAATGTGGGGTGGTAGTCCCGCAGGTCAGGATGTGCTGAGCCTCATTCAGCAAGTTGGGGCGGCCGCGCTTGGGGTCACTCGCCTCGTCCATGGCGAGTGCGGAGGTCTGCCTGCAGCAGAGTCATAAAAACTCTGGTGGCTGCAAGTCTGGGAACAGCCTCAGGACCTCTGTGGCCGTGCGGGTGCGCGAGTCCGGTTGGGACCCGTCACCGCGGCGCCCGCTGCTGCTGCCCCCTGGGCCAGCTGGGCCCGTGCTGTGGACGCGTGGATCGGGCGCGCTTGCGTCTGCTGCGGCGGGTGCGAGCTGGGTGGCCAAATCGGGTGTGGCGTCGTCGCCGTATGTCTGCTCTGCAAGACGCGGGCAAGCTGTTGGCTGCTATGGGTAGACTGTCCGGGAGTCTCGGTCCATGATGCAGTCCAGGGTTGCTGGCGCGACGTTCCAGATGTAGACCAGGCACCTCCTGCAGCACCACGTGGCGTTCCATTTTCGCTCGAACCAGGAGAAAGGCCACTGGTCCCACTTGGGAAGACCTGCGCGCTCAGTGCTTCCTGTCTCGGTCTGGGCCTTCCAGATGAAGCAGCCGAGAGCAAGGGCGCCGACCTTCCATGCCGGGAGTTGGCCGTCAGGCGGGCATGCATCGCACTTGGCAGAGTTGGAGCCCGTCTCGCGCGCCTCGCCGCCGAAGCTTCCGTCCAGGATCCGCTTCGCTGGCAGTGTAGCGTTGGCCATCTTCGGGCTACGCTGGGCCGGCGGGGCCATCAGGACGTCGGACAACGTCCTGAAGTCCCGGGAGAGAGGGCTGCATCCGTAGCCTGGGGGCCAGCGGCTGGGGAGCGGAGGGAGCGAGCTGGCCGCAGGGTCGCATTGCCAGGCCAGGTAGTCCTGGACCTCGGCGGCCAGTCGCTCCCGTTGGACTCGGGATGCCCTTTCTGTTGAAGCGGACTACCCAGTAGGCCTCACATAGC